CTCACTAGCTCTAAACTAACAGAATCATAAATTACACAGAAGTCACAGTAACTACTGTTCACTTAACTTTTGTTCCCCCGGCATTTCTCTGCCAGGCTTATATACTAACAAAGTGGCGTCTCCAACATTCGCGGAGTTCCCCGATAATTTGAGAAACTCAGTCACGCATGCTCCAGCAGCGTCATGTGACTTCCTCTGTCGTAACAATGTCTATGTAATGACTGAATCCCAAGTACTGGGAATGTCTGTAAATATTTCAGCAAAAAGTTTGAATTTCTTGTTCTTCTTTCTTCTGCTTCTTTTTTATTACATGATAACTCAAAAACAAAAACAATGGTGTCAACCAATTTCACTGAGGTGACATAGTTTCAAACAGAGTATCCGCTTTTATAAGTATTATCAATACCTAGTAGTAATTTTTAAAAAATCATAATTCTAGTGTAAACGATGATATCATTACCCCTTGAAGTTAGCTTTTTTACAGAAATCTGGTGTTCATTTAAAAACTTAAGTAGAGGGTGAAACAGGAATTACTAGCTAATAATAGATAAACAGTGAATATTACAGTTGGAACCTCATTGTACTTAGAACTTGATTATATAAATACAACCTTCTTATGTTTATTGAAACACTGCAATAAAAAAAGTAAACAAGTTAAGAAAAACTTTTGGAAAAAAAGGAAATAAATGTAAGGATGGCTAATATCAATCCTTCAAAATCAATGCAAACAAGATAGTAGGGATGGCATTCGCATCACCCCTACATGTAGCATAGGCAAGAATTAACATATATAGCAAATATATAACTATTCAATCACAACTGAGTTTAATTTATCCTATTTTTGTCTGTTAACATTCTATTACACTGTGTGCCTGTGCTATTATGTAGGGATGATGCAAATGCCATCCTACTATCTTGTTTGCATTGTTTTTAAAGGATTGATATCAGCCATCCCTACATTTACTTCCTTTTTTGAAAAGTTTTTCTTTACTTGTGTAGATAGTGTTTCAGATAAACTTTTGTTTGTCATCATCCAACCCTGCGGAAGAGTTCTGATATCAAACGAAATACTTTCTGGGTCATGACTTGCGAGTGATAAAAGATAGTTCCGGTGTGATTTTTATCACACACGTTATGCCATTTGTTTCTAATGCTTCACCAGTTTTTAACGTTTGCAATAGTCATGAGTAAATTACCTGGTCTAAATTCTTTATTTACTTTCAAACTGGGTGAAACATTTATAATCGCTGCAAAACAGTTGTGACCAACTATTAAGCACCTAGATGACATATTTGGTTTGATATTTGCGTAAAGTTGCCAAAAAGGCTATCTACGATAGACTTCCGTACTTTCAAAGTGATAGACAAATATATAGAAATCTCAGATAATAGACACGCGTGGATTTGACAATTACCATCCCAGGAAATTTTATTGAACTTTCTGTAAGCCCCAATAAAATAATGCGGTGTTTCTGTTATAGCGTGCCCCCCCCCCCAGTAGCACAACGGTAAGAATGCATAATTATAACGCTGGAAACCGGGTTTCAATACACGAGGTGAGCACAGCACAGATAGCCCACTGTGTAGCTTTGTGCTTAACTACAAACAGACAAACAAAACTGCTATGGTTTGAGGTGCCATTTGAAAACCTGGACGATCATTGCTGAAGCTTGCTAGATCAGAGCTTATCAGAAAAGGCAATGTTTTCATGCAAGATGGAGTTCCTACTCATTCAGCTCAAGCCCACAAAACGATGGTTTGAAGATCAGGATTATTACTCTCTCATGGCTAGGAAAGTCATTGGATATGAAATCTATCGACCAGTGTGGCCTATCCTTGATCGTTCCCTTCCAAAGCATTCTAAACAACCAGCTTCTAAGGACGTCCTCTTCAAAGCTCATCGGGACTCAAGTACAATCTCACAGACTTAGATTTCATATATATTAAATACGACATGTAATCTATTTGATGTTAGTTTCTTTAATAAAACGGCATTCTTCCTAGATTTGATGTATATTTACTTATCAATAGGCTGTGCAGGTTATCAGTGATATAATTAGTGAAGCAATTACAGTTCTTTCTAATGAAACATTTTACCAATTAAGATTCCTGAAATAACTAGTCCTACAAATTATCGCTAGGTAATAATGATAGTTAACCCAATTTAGAAAATTATTTAATTCCAACCACTGACTCTTTAAAATACAAGTTTTAAAGTGTTTTTTTATCCTTACTAAAGGCCTAAGGTTTGTCATAAACTTTATGCAATATTTACATTGATTTGTCTAGTCAATAGCTAGGCTAGAATTAATATTAAGAATTGACTTGTTATTCAAAAGATGTATTACCTATTTTTTGTCTGTCATAGCCCCATACGTAACGATTATTTGAACGTGTGTGAATTGGCATTAAATCTGTAGTTTCATAAGTAAATTTATTGAAGATAGCTCAGTATTGTTTAGATAGCAACGGAAATATAATTAAGTATCCAAAAATAACTGTTACACATATCTTTCGTACTTTAGCGATAGAGAAAATGAAAGATTGTAATTT